ATTATCTTAATATTGTTCAGTCCTACATTATCTTAATATTGTTCAGTCCTCTCCCGTTCCTTTATTGGATGACAATCTAAGTGCAATCAAGATTGCTTCTAATCCTGTCTTCAATGAAAGGACGAAGCACATTGAAGTAGATTGTCATTTTATAAGAGTTACTGTTGGCAGTATTTCATCGCCACATATATCCTCTACTCTTCAACTGGCAGATATTTTCACAAAGGCTATGATTGGGGCCCAACATTCCCTTCTAATGGACAAACTGATGGTAGTGCCCCTACATCGGTTTGAGGGAGAGTGCAGAGACAAAGATAGTGAGGGCTGAATTGTAATTTTTCTTTCTTGTTGTACCATTCATTTTCTATTATTTTACCTTGTACATTACTTATTGTATTATAAAAACAGAAGTGTCCTTTTACATTCATTATATAAATAGCTTCTTCTTGGTGTGGTCGACACATTGGACACACCCTAAATCTGCTGTGTTCTCTCTTGTATGAACTGCACTAACAATATCCACCTTTGTATCTAGGAGAAACAAGAAATTGTTTGTGGTTGCAACTTGCAAGTTCAAATTTTGAAGTTGAACAAAAAGCAATGTCTCATGGCATTTCAGATACATAATGGATGAAGACTCTTGTGAGATAAGAATCTGGTGGTTGAATAATGTGATAAACAGCAGCAATTAATATCCCTCACAATCTATTTCAGAATGTTAAGACCAAATACATCAAGGCTGATTATCATTTTATCAGAAAGAGAGTAGCTATTGGGGAAGTTTGTCTACCATTTGTAGTTAGAAAATCTTGGAAGCACTTTCTGTATGTGCAGGGGTAAGGCTGTATACTTCTGTTCCCCCCAGGCCCCGCATTGGCAAGAGCCTCATGCACTGGGTTGTCCTCTTTTTGTAGTTAGAAAATCATATAGGTAATGTATTCACAACGGAGATAGTTAAATCCAAAATATCGGGCACGCAATCTTGGCATGATTAATACTATGCTGAACTTGAGGGGGGATTTTCAGAATCCCAACTTTACCATTCAGGGGCATTTCTGAAATTCCATTCGTTACTATATAATGCAATCAGATGGTTAATTAGGCCTATTGAAGGCCATTCTTTCACACACCTATTCTCTGTTCTTTTTCTTCTCTTTTATTCCTCTCACTTTCTCTCTCAATCTTCTTTCTCATTTGATTCCTAAAATCACAAAGTAAAACTTTTACAATTGGAAGAAAGACAACAATTTGGGTGTTTCTGCAAGAGGAACATTCTGCCACCACAAGCAGTGCATGTGCATACAAGTGCGGATTTTGACTAGAACATTACTTAACATATTTTTTTCTTGCTGAACAATTACTCAACTTAGTTAACATTAAGAAGCAGGCTTCATGTTAGTAATATTTCTCAAGTTGAAGAACTCAAACAAAAATGCAAGTACTACCGTTATAAACTTGCTCCAAAGGCAGGAAGAGGCTGCTCCAACCAACATAGCCACAGCATAAGCAATCTCAAGAAGGTAAATACAAATCCAGAATACCTGTTTGCAGAAAAGCTTATATAGGTAAAGGAAAAATGGAGAATCTACCATCACAGAACTATTTTGTAGGTTTCACTGTAAAAAATAAATAAATGAACAAAAAGTGCTTTGTTTATAGAGACTGACCCGCTTTTGACCTAGGCGTACACTAAAAGACCTGATGCCAAATATTCTGTCGCCATCAATGTCAGGTATATCCTACAGAAGAAGAAAGAAAAAGCTTGGTAACAAGATCGTATGATAAATAGGTGTAATAATATTGAACTTCTTTTTTTCTTTTCTTCTATTTTTTTCTAATAGCGGAGAAGAGAGGGGAGGGGAGGGGAGGGGAGGTTAATATTGTGAATCTACACTCTTAATGAACACCTAAGAGATATATTGGCAGTAAATAGCAAATCTCTTAATTTCCCCTTTTCTCCCCTGAGAAGTAACCTGGTACATAGATTTGCTTAACATATTTTGGCATGTTGGCAAGAACAACAAATCTAGTTCAAGGAAATGTATTATGCAAAATAATTGTACATTCCAAGACCAGCATAGTTGTACAATTTCCCATTCTTCCAACACAGCTACAATTTTCCTTGTGTCTATGGAACCACGAAGGGGTGGAGTTAGAAAAACGTATATTAGTAGCCCACCCCATACAAGTCTCTACAATTGACTACTACCCAATGGATATCTCAAATTTCAACTTATTTATATTGCAATTTGGAAAGTTCATTATGAGAAGTTTAGAGATAAAGTTATTACAGCTCAATTATTGAAACGACATACAGATCATCATTGTCATCTAAGCCTTGTGCCAACTGTAAGGGTTTGGCAACACAAATCATGTCTCACCGTTCCATTCTATTCAGTTTCATATTCATTATTAAACAATGGGCCCTTATATAATTCCTCACTACTTCAACCAATGTCCTTTTTGTTCTTCCCCTAGCTCTCTAGCCCATCAATTTCTGACAGTTCACTTCTTACTGGTATTGTATATGGTCTTCTCTGGCTATTCCTAGGTTCCTTTGAATAAGTTCACTTTTTATCATATCCTTCTAATTTTTCCACTCATCCATCTCAACATAATCTCTGCCACAGTTGTGAACATTTGTTTCTTGACTGTGCAACATTCTACTCTATATGACATTGCAATCCTTAAGTTGTGGCACATTTTTTCAAGCATGGTTTATTATATATGATATTATGTTCACTCACAAACTCTTTACATGTCCAAGGAAATTTAAATCCCATTTCTTAAGTGTTCCAGAATGCAGCCTTCTTGAATTAATAAATTTCACCATTAGGACGTTTTAAGAATTTGACGAGTCAGAAATATTAGGAAAACAGTACCAGAGATTTGACAAGTTTCAGGCACCCATATAAACAATTACATAGTAAATATAAAGGTTTTAAGAGATTTACCTTGAATAATGCTATAACAATTGAGAAGAAGCTCATAAATGCAGTTGTGAACACCAAAGGCCATGTAAGAATGGGAGGCCTTCTGTAAACAAAGGTCTGGAAAAAATTATATGCAAAGGAAATATCATAAATACAAACTAACAAGAATGAAAGGTTAAAAATATGAATATTGGTTCATACATAAAGAAAGTGAGACCTCTTGGAAACAAACCTGAATGTGTAGAAAAAACGCAAGCTGGACAACCACAGCTCGTACAGCCAGAATGCACATTGCCGCAATCAAAGCAAATCTTTTCCACCTCAATAATGGCAACTAAAACAAGATCCCAATGACCAACAGATTACTATATTGGCATTTCTCTTAGATTATCAACTTGTATAACAAATGTTTATCATGATCTACTTTGACGTCAATGTTAGACAGTATAAGCCCTTAGCTCCAATCAGATTGATGTACAGATGCATTTATTGTAAATGAATAAAAGTACATTATTGTTTTAGATGTAAATCAGTCCTTTAATATCAAGATTAAACTTGGTGATTAGCAAAATAAAACAGGTCTGAATAACTGTACAAGAGAAGAAGATGGCGAAGAGAAGAGGTAAGAGAAGGAGTCGAATAATTCTCCATTCTCTTGTAACCCTATTTTATTAAGATCTAAAAATTTGATGATGACAAGAATGCCCTTAAGTGGGCGGCCAACTTGGCAGTTACATAAAGAAAATAAAACAAGAATAAATAACAGGCCCATTAAGTGTGGCCCATCAACA